TCACCCTCACGAATCAGAGGTGCTGAATCTCTTCCACCTGAGCTGATTTAGAAAATAATTCACAGCTAAAGACACCTGAGAATCGACATTGTGATTTTTTTTAAGAGTAAAGAGAGACAAAATTGGCTTTTAAGAGCAGAGATGCAGAGATTCAGCAGTGCATTTAAGGAAAGAAATCTCTGATATTTGCATAATGCAGGTAGGCGAATGAGATGTTAGATAAGAAAATTATAATCCAATCCACCCCATAATGACTTCAGTATCTGTCTCTGTTTGTCTAAACCTTACTGTGGCAGTTCATGTGTACTTTATCATCTGCATTGGAGTGAATTAGCATTTTTATGCTTCATCATTAATAAATAATTCTGTTTGATTTTCAGCGTGTTGTCTCGCCATAATAGCATGACCAAAAAGACGAGCTAATTATCCCTCAAAATAATCCTTTCCTTTATTTCACTTCCAAAAAACAATCGTACAATCGCATTTCAAATGTCCAGACCAGCTGATATGCAAAAAAACAGGCAAGCATTTACTATACAGCAGCTTGAGAACAAGAGTGAGATTAAAAAGCTTGAGAGGGAAAACTGAGAGTCCGGGCTTCTCTCTAGAGAACCGTTGTTCGCTGTTCAGCTTCCCTTACTGTACTGAACTCAGCAGTACCACAGTCAGCTTTGTACATTGCAACTCCACTGTCCTTTCGGAGTCAAAGCGGTATAGTTGATTTCTGAAGCATGTAAGTCATGTTATATTAAGGAGAGCCTTTGTCCTTCACTTGGTTTGCCATGCAGAAGTCCATGATCCGTTTGTTTCTGTAATTGGCGAGAGTATTTAGTCAGAAATGCCAGAGCTTATGCATCACATGCACTCAATAAAAAAAAAACGCACTGCAGATTGCCTTAATGTACTGGGCTTGTATATGTGCCTGTATTTACGTATGCTAAGAGGCTCCACGTAAGACCCTCATGATTTCTTGTAAAATAGTGCTCAGATGTTTGCATACCCCATGGGGAGTTATTCAACCTTTTTTTTTTTTGATATAATAAGAGATTGTGAAATAATTATTGTTATAATAATTTAGTACTGCCCTCAAGAACCTGCATAACAGATATTTGTGTGCCATTAAAATAAATATAATAGTTAATCCGCTGAGTTTTTTCATCCATTCAGCCGATCTCTGAGTGTGACAGGAGTACTTTTAGCTTAGCTTAGCACAGACCATTGAATCAGATTAGACCATTAGCATCTCACTCAAACATTTTAAATAGGAGTGTAGATAGTTTTCCCATTTAAGCTGGGCTCTTCTGTTGTAACAACGGATACTATGAACGTCAATAAATAAAAAGCTACGGGCGCAATGATATTATGCAGCACCTGAAAATAGTCCCCATCTAGGTAACGTCCATTGTGACTGGCACAATGTGCAAGAATGGAGTTAAGTTGGTTATATTGATGGAAGTTAGCATATTATCAGGTGCTCTGTAATATCATTGCACCTGCTGCAGCCATGGTACGGCAGCAAAATTAATTGATTACTTCTGAATTAGTGTATAGTTCATAGTCACATTAGCCTAGAACACATGGGCAACAAAATTTCTGGATTTCCATAATACGACTGCAAAGTTCCTTGATATTTAAGCCACAATCAGAGTATAGTTCCTATCCACATCGACTTAATAGCAATTTTTAGATTGAAAATTGAAAATAGCAACTTTTAATTTTTCATCGATCTTAGTACACGATGTATCTTCAAAATCAAAATATTAAAATACCTTTGGTTATTTTTTTTTTTTTTGAGCAAGATGCTAATGGTCTAATATAATTCAATGACTTATGTTAAGCTAAGCTACGAGTGTTCTCACCCGAACCGGAGATGGTAAAACTGGTTAACTCTAGAACAAAGATGTCAAATGCAGTTCCTGGAGGGCTGCAGTTCTACATGGTTTAGTTCCAACCGTCCTTCAACACACTTACCTGTAGGTTTCAAACAAAATTGAAGGACTCAATTAGTTTGATCAGGTGTGTTTCATTAGGGTTGAAACTAAACTGTGCAGAGCTGCGGCCCTACAGCTCTAGAGCTGTCCAAACTCAGTCCTGGAGGGCTGGCGTCTTGCAGATTTTAGATCCAACTTGCCTCAACACACCTGCAAGGATATTTCTAGAAAGCCTGGTAAAGCTGCAGTCACACTGCACTGCAAAAAATGCTTTTCTTGCTTAGATTTTTTTGTCTTGTTTTTAGTCCAAACATCTAAAAATTCCTAAATTAAGAAGAATTTTCTAGACAAGAAAAACATATTGTCTTGTTTTCAGAAATAATATGCCAATATTTAGTGAGTTTTTCCTTAAAACAAGTAAAAAAAATCTGCCAATGGGGTAAGCAAAATGATCTTACGTCAAAAGAAAAAACAAGATTAATTTGCTTACCCCATTGGCAGATTATTTTGCTTGTTTTAAGGAAAAACATTATATATTAAATATTGGCATAAATATTGGCATATTATTTCTCAAAACAAGATAATATGTTATGCTTGTCTAGAAAATGCTTCTTGATATAAGAAATTTTAGATATTTAGACTAGAAACAAGACAAAAAATCTAAGCAAGCAAAGCATTTTTTTGCAGTGTGAACTTTTCTCCCCATAGACTTCCATTCATTTGCACGCGATAGCGTCAGACCGGAAGCGCAATGTCGTGCGTCAAGTTTCGCAGATCACTCAGTTGGATAGTTTAAGCTTGGTGAACTCTGACCAGCGAAATTGCATCACTTGACTGCGTAGGACCAATCAAGAATCAAAACATGACCTCTCTGAAGAGGAATTTAAAATATGGGCCAATCACTCGCTTTTTTAATGTCTAATCCCGCCCCTTTTCGCAGCACCATACAACAGAACTTTGCACGCACAAACTCTAGTGTGACCACAGCTTAGAGCTTGATTAGCTAGCCATAGGTGTCTGATTGGGGTTGGAACTAAACTTTGCAGGACACTGGCCCTCCAGGACCGAGCTTGAACACCCCTGGAGTGTTTCTTTTAATTAAATAGCAGTTTTGCACAAGCCCCTTACTTGTCCAGAGTGGCAAAACCAGATTTCAGCAATTGTATAGCCACCGTAGGGAAGAACTCAAATGTGCAGAGCATGCTGGGAAACCAAATAAAGAACAGCTTCACCACTCAGGACAAACTAGAAACTCTTGCGCAACTATCATGAAAGACCACAACGGTCATAAATGCTTTTCAAAATAAAGGCCATGTTCAGTTTCAATCATTTTCCTTTAGCTTAGTCCCTTTATTCATCAGAGGTCGCCACAGCGGAATGAACCGCCGACTCATCCAGCATATGTTTTACACAGCGGATGCCCTTCTAGCTGCAACCCAGTACTGGGAAATATCCATACACACACATTACGGCCAATTGTATAAACCCAATTCACCTATAACGCATGTCTTTGGACTGTGGGGGAAACCGCAGCACCCGGAGGAAGCCCAAACGAACACAGGAGAACATGCAAACTCACACAGAAATGCCAACTGACCCAACCGGGACTCGAACCAGCGACCTTCTTGCAGTGAGGCGACAGTGCTAACCACTCAGCCACCGTGTCATATTTTTCAAAAAAAAATTAATCGAGTCAATCAATAATTTTTGTCTTGTGGAATAATATGCAAATATCTGTCAAACAGCTTCTTAAGAACATTAATAAATTGTAACGCACTTCTTATGATCCTTCTTTTTTTTGGTTAAACCCCGGCCACAAAGATTTTGCAGATTCTGAAAGGGGTAGATAAATGTATGTTCACAGCTGTATTTAACACAGATGCTTTTCAGTCTATCCTGGGGGAGGGAAATAAATCGTATATGTCCAGTTCCCATGATCATGCAGCTTTAATGTGATAATGTTCAGTTGCATGAGAGATTTGCCTTTATTGAGAGTGGTCCTTTTTGGTGTGAGAAGCTGCAGACCAGTTCATAATAGTATGAAGTGGACGAAGTCACTGATCATCTTTAGGCGGTCTCTGTCTGTTCTGTTCCTCTCTCTGTGATCTGGGGCTGCTAGGTGCCCGCTCCTTTTCCCCTTTCTTGCTGGCTGGGTTGAGGGCGAGCACACTGGCGGCTCTCTCGGGACTCTCCGGAAGCCTTTCAACTTCCGGCGGGCTTTCGGACTCTTTGGCTCGGGCTGGCTCAGTCTTGGCCGCTTCACCTTTTTGGGGCCTTTCTTCAATATTGAAGTGCGAGCCATTCCTCAGTGTCTCTCGGCAGTCTCCGTAGAGATGCTGCTCCAGAGTTAGATTTGACGCTGCCAGGTGTTTGAACTCGGACTCAAAAGGGAAGCCACCGCATGGCTGAGTGGCTCCTTCCACCTGGCTCAGGACGGCAGTTCCCCTGTACACCTCGATAGCCTCCGGAAGCATGGACTTGATCTTGGGGAGCCAGCGCTTGCGAACTCTCCGAGCATTGGTGCACATGTCTGCAGCAATCACATTCATCTCACTTTCTTTGAAGTTAGGGGCAAAATTCTGACAGTAGACTAATGTTAAAACAGACAGAAAGAAAAGAACATTTCAGTTCCATGTCGTGACAAATGAAGCAAGAACAATGTTTGCAACTGATTGGTTCTTGAAACGTGGGGAATTACGGCAAGGAAAGTTTTGAAGTAAGCTCCTCATATAAACCTTAAGTAAGACATAGGATCATGCAAGCTAAGATTACAAACATACATTCAATTCTTAATCAGTTCAAGCGGCTTTGATTGCTGTGACAGGGAAGAAGTGGGTCACTCACGTTTCACGGTGTTGAGAATGCGGCTGTCCAGCGGTTTGCGATTTGGATCACAGTTGGAGGAACGTATTCCAGTCCCACAGCTGTCAGCCAGTGTATTCCTGCAGTCAAAATACCAAAGTCAGCCACTGGAGGGCACACACATAATATGTTTCCAAAACACCATGCGGTTCTTACAGTTATCAAACACAATATACTGCAACATTTGAATGCGAGGGTATAGATTTAATCTCTGCTTGGTCTTGTTTTTTTTGTTTTACTGCAGAGGCAGGCATGCTTGTTATGCATCTGTAAGGCTTTAGACCTGTCAAAAAAAGCAGCTAGAAGGCGTCTCAGCAGGACTTTGTGCTTGACCCCAGCACAGAGGTGACAGTTCATCAGCTGCCCACGAGTCATGAAGACACCAGATCCTTCCACAGCACCAACAACAGAGAAACAAGGAGACCTTAGCTCTGAATCAGTGACTCAAATGACTCAGTCTGAACTGATAAATAATTCAGATGGACACGGAGTTTCAGACAGGCTGGTATTATTCAGGCCTCACCTCCAATCAGCTCCAGTCTCTCTCCAGGGTCGCCTTCTGTGTAGAGTGCAGGGTGGCACCGGTAGCCGATCTGGCTGATGAGTCCGGCAGGCAGAGCCTCTCTGTCTCCTCCCAACAGCACACAGAAACGGTTCTCCAAGGACAGAGGCAGGGAGGACACCTCCATCTTCTCTTGCACTGGGAACAGACACAACAGATCACACTCACAGGAATGAATCCTCAGCATTTTGGGCTGCAATGAGTAGTCCATTAAAAGACATTTACTGGTGTAAATCCCGGACGAGCCCCCGAATATCTTTCCATTTGTCAGACTCTCGTACGAGTCATCTTCAAAGTCCTCCTCCTCGTTTTGATGAGAAGTTGGGCTGTCTGTGGTCGGGAGGCTAGAGGCACCGGGGCTGGCATGATCTCGGGTTGATTGCTCATAAGCATGCATCACGGGTATGACACCGTTCACACCTGCACTGGTGTAGAAAAGAGTGCCATTCCTTGAAGATCTGCTCCTGTGTCCCCTGTCCTCCTCAGAGTGCTTTAGCTCCCCGTTCTGAGTGCACACGGGGGTCTCCAGCTTCTCTTCCTTGATCTTGCAGACAGTTGTGGGCTGGTCGCCTAGCAACAGGGAGGAGTTGTTGTTGTTTGGGCTAGGGGGATCGTCTGTGGCAGATGTCTGTGAGTCACAGTACGGTGCGCTGGCCTTGAACATGAGGTCCATTCCCCGCTCTACGATGTTCTGGATCTGAAGGTAGCCCGCCGTGTACATGACCATCAGCTGATCGCTGGCACTAACCGTCATTCGGCCCGTGTAGCAGAAGGTCAGAATCTGCTGGAAGCAGGACGGGGCTACGGATGAGGGCAGCTCGAAGAGCGTCTGGGTACTACCGCTGAAGAGATCGCGGAAGTAGAGGCTGCTGGCCGCCAAAACGGCACGGTGGGCCTTGAAGGCCTGTCCGTTGACCATGATGGCCACATCGCAGTGCTGGCCCAGCAGCCGCTGTTCGTTCAGGCTGTCCAGAACCGTGCTGCCAAAGTTTGGAATCTCCATGTGCAAGAGCTGAGACATCATGCCCGTTTCAGATCTCCGGAGAAGACAGGATTTTCTCACCAGACATCTAAGACAACAGAAAGTCACAATGAAGGTGGACCAGCCTGATGAGGTAACAAACTGAAAATGACTAGATTCAAAAGTCACACAATGTTTATCTGGTGCAGACACAGCAGAAAAAATGCGACAGAAATGCTGCACAGCAACTCCCTTGGTAAACAGCTCTCTTCACCCCAACATTACTAGAGTCTGCATGTTTGGCAACTCAGCATAAGCTTGCCTGGAGTATTCAAAAGAAGCTGAAAAGTGACCCACAAACCCACCCACCCACCCTCCCTCTCCACCCCGCCACTACCTGACCTCTATAGCAGAATCTTCCCAGATGAGAGAGAGAGAATGCGGGCAGGCTCCACACAGCAGCTCAGCATGAGGAAAGGTAGCTTGAGAAGCAGAGAGATACGTCTCAATCCGTCCTCTTCCTCCCCGCACAGGACTGAGCCAGGGAGAGGGAAAGCGAACGTCTGTGTGCAATCGATGCACCATCTACTGTATGTCACAGAAAGGGGGAGAGAGGCTATAGGCACAGACACAGAGACTAGGGAGAGAGGGGGAGGGAGTGAGACTGAAGGAAAGTCATTTAAGGACACAGAGTGAGAGAGAGAGAGAGAGCGAGAGAGAGAAATCGAGCAAGAGAGAAAGAGAAAGAGAGAGAGCCTGATGCGGATAACTGCCCTGCAGAGAGTAAACGTGTTCATGTGCGATGGAGACAAAAGACAGGCAAGACAGAAAGAAAGAGAGAGAGAGAGAGAGAGAGAGAGAGAGAAAGAGCAATGGCTCACTTTTATTTGAGCGTCACACCGCACGAAGAAAAGACAAGAACGGGAGCGTTCACCCTGCATGCACCAACCCCAATGCGTGCAGACACATAATCCATCAGAAGCCGTCTCTGCCACGATCAGCTCCGTGCTCAGGATTATTTACATTAAGGGCAGACAAATGGTGTGTGCCAGGAGAGCAGCTCTGCATTGCAGTCCCTGTCACAGGCTGGCATGCTCAGTACAGAGTCTGCATACCCAATCAGATGTGCCAACACGGCATCAGACAGATACTCAACCGATAAGAAAAAGAAAGGAGGGAGACTCAGTCTCAAAGCTGCCCTGAATGTCAGATCAGTACATCAAACCCAGAGCGTTTTAAGGCGGCACGTATCAGACGGACGGCTGAAAGACTGTAGTGTGCGAGGAAGAGTTGAGTACAGAGCAGTGGGGCAGTAAAGCAGCGTCTCTCAGCAAAGTGGGGAAGAAGGCGCTGTGCTTCAGTCTCCGAGTTTTAATGCTGAGACGCCGATGGGCTACAGCGTGAGTCAGCGCTATTAGAGATAAACTGCCGTGTTCCACTCGTCTAATATCAACAGCAAATAAATTAGAATAAATCAATAAAGCGTGGCAGACACACGCCCGGTGACTGCTGCATAACTTGATTCCTGCCGTCTGTCTGGTCTCTAACACTAAAAAAAAGCAGCAAAACGTGACACTTTCATCTCCAGAAACTCCCCTCAAACTTTGTTTCCCGCACCATTTAGGAGAATGTTCTGAAGAAACGAACACAGCAAGTTATTCTACATTCGCAAACAAGAGTGCCTGTGCAGACATCTGTTAAGTTGACAGCTGGAGCTCTAGTAATAGACAGCGTTAGTATGGTCACATGTATGATGTCCCTGAGGAGAACAGACTGCAGTCTGAGCTGGTGGGGAGAGACTCCACACTGCCTACTAGAGGACAGACATGGACGTTGCAGCAATCGAAAAACTTAAATGACCTCTCAATGTGCTCAGACTTTAAGTCGCAGTTACACTGTGTTCTCAGTACGGTACGTCCAACTGTTCTCCTGATAAATGGTCGTTTAAGAAGGCTGCTCAGAAAACTGTTGTACATGTAACAGCACAGTATTGTGGTGCATTATAAAACATCAATGCTTTAAAGCAGTTCACTCAAAAATAAATAATATTTACTCACCCTTTACTTGTTCCAAATGAGTTTCTTTCTTTTGTTGAACACAGATGATGATATTTCGAAGAAACGTAACCATTGATCCTTTTGTTTTTCCTTATATGGAAGTCAACTGTTGCAGGTTTTCAGCTTGAGAGTGAGGAAATTAGTATTTTCAGTTGAACTAACCCTTTAATAGACACTCTTATGAAATAAAAAAAAATTATAATCATACATTTTTATTTGAAAGACAACTTACAGCGTTCTTTATACAAAATGCAACGGCTCCTCTGTTAGGACAAACTACATATATACAGAACAACTGCCCCCAAAAATAGTCTTTACATAAAAATATCATTCTTAAAGCACTGGAAATAATAATATTAATAATAATAATAATGAACAAGCAACGTAATTTACAGCCGTTCATTTGGAGCAGCTTAAAAGGCCACCATTATGTGCATCTACCATCACAACACATAAGCCATATTTTATTAGGGAATATTTATCCTCCACAACAATGCTCCATTAAATAGTGAAATATCACAAGGTGAACACGTTACTTCAAATCAGTCCACAAAGCAAACTTTGTTTAATAATGGCATTTTAAAACAGTTCACAATGTCAACAGGCTTGTAAACTTTGAATTAAAAACCGCAGTAGTGATATACATTGAACACTGAACAGCCTGTAATCAGGAAATCCTCGGAGTACATTAAATGAATCGCTGCCTATAAGGTTCAACATAGATGGTGTGTGTTTGGAGATTTATATTAAAACGCATTGATCATTACAATCACTTGTACAAAAAAATAAACTGAAAATATTGTGATCAATATAGTTTAGCACCAAATTTGACACATAATTTGATGACTTTTGAAATGCATTAATGTAGTTATCATAAATCCCCTGGTGAGGAAATTTACAATAAGATTTTTAAATCAACTCTAGGAATAATGTCACTTATAAGTAGGGACAGACAGAATCTGTGGATGTTTTTTGCCATTTCTGCAGAGAATTTTGATAAAAATCTGCGGAATTATTTTGGGAGTATCATAACTAAAATCTAAATATTTTAAATAAAAAATAATATCTTTTTAACTTTTATTTAATGTTTAAAATGCAAATCCAATTAAATTCATTTTATTTGGTAAACAAAGCAAGTCTCTCATATATCTACTGAAAGACAGAAAAAATTACTGTACAAACTGCATTGTACATAAATCAGATGAACATTTTCATATTAGTCAATAATATTACTGTAATTATTTAAAAACTGAGTAAATCAAGATTCACACACATATTTACTCAAGTAGATAAACAGAATTAACGATGGCCTAAAAATCTGCAGAAATATGCGGAAAATCTGCAGAAATCTGACCGTGCAGATTCCGTGTGGGCCTACTTATGAGGTCAATAAGATAGAAGATCACCTGAAAATTCTGTTTTACTGGATATATTCGGTATGGCTTTAAATAAAATGTTACTATGTGTTTCTTTTAATAGTCTAATAACATTTCTTCTCAATTTCAAACAGAGATTCTGCCATTTAAAGAATATTTTTTTGTTATTGAAAATCATGGTCATTCCAGCAAATATTGCTTTATTTATTTATTTATTTATTTATTTTACTTGTACTGTGTTCTCTAAAAATGAATATAAACATGTCTCAAGGCTGTTTTTTGTGAGTAATCAACCAAAAGGCAAAAGGCCGATTTATACTTCTGCATCAAGTGATCGCCATGACCCTACATCGTAAGCCTTGCGCGTAGCCGTGCATTTGTACTTCTGCATGCTGATAGGTTACGTTCCTCTGTGTTGAGTTACTTCGAGGGTGTTTTGTTTTTTCTGAATGCTACCTCAATATACAAGTAGTTAAAGCTCGCTCATTCGGAGACTGGAACCTGCTAACTTTAATCAAAAGGTAAACATAAAACAACTAAAGCTCCTTCACAGGATTCAGCAGTTAAACACTCGCTCCATCGGGCTCACAGCTCTCAGCACCACCCATGCTCATCACTGCTACCAAGCCAACCAATCACAGAGTTTTCGCTACCATACGCGATGCAGAAGTATAAATCGGCGTTTAGCCTTTTGGTCGATTACTCAAAAAGGTAATGATTGGCACTCATCAAGTAATTGCTTCGTACCGTTTTTACTTTTCCTTCTTACATTCTTCGAGTGATTTAAAGACAAACGTTTCGGCACTATGCCTTCCTCAGTGTGTGATTACTCACAAAAATCCTCTAAATGTCAGAGGAGGGGGACTCCAGTCACATGACTTAACTCAAGTCAGACTGAAGTTGCAAAATTTAGGACTTGAGACTTGCTTGGCAAATATCCAAAAAGACTCGACTTGCTTGGATTTGACTGTCATGGCTTGAGACTTGACTTGGACTTGAGTTGAATGACTCGAAATAACTTGTTTTAGTTAAATACAAACTGTTTGTTTTAAAAAAAGTCTGAAAGTTCTAACAAACGCAAGCGCAGTCTTATTAGCTTATCGGTTCTCAGATTGCTCTGAAAGATAGGTTCTCTGTACTTTTCTGAATAAAGCACTGCAACCAATTCCTGACTCGCGTTGATGATTTTTTAAATAAGTGGATAACTATACATATTGTTTTTTGTCCATGTCAAAGGGTGCCAGGTAAGTTAAAAGGTAAGTAACTTTAAGTATTTTGTGGATTAGTATTTACTGGAAACACAAAGTTGAATTTGCTGAACTAAACCAATCAGGTCATGAAGAGTATACAGTAACGAGAAATGGAAGGCGCTCCTCCAAAGATGAAATTCGGGTTTAAAGATTACAAGCAAGACGACGCCAAAAAGAAAAGCAACATGCAAAGCATGCAACTCAAAAGTGAGTGACTCAATTACCACAACTTTTAAGTTCATTTGACAATTTAAATCACACCAAAGATAGTAAGTTATGAAGTTAGTTCAGTTGTTTTCAGCTTACATCTTGGCTAATCAAAGTTTATACTATTTGTATATACAAAATAGCAAAAGTTCGAAAATCTACAAAAATTTGATTGACTTGAAAGTGACTTGCTAGACCAAGCTACGACTTCACTTGACCTGAAATAAGCGGTGACTTTACTTGAGTCTGACAAAAATTGACTTGACTTGCTTGAGGCTTAAAGGTTGACTCGAGACTTGCTTGTGACTTACCCCCACCTCTGCTAAATGTCAACATTTCTGTTTTAAATTCAGAAGAAGTGTCATTAGTAGTTTCCATAACTGTACTCATGTAAATCCAGAGTAAATCAGAATTTTAATGAAGTCTATAAATATGTGGCTCTTTTTTTTTTGAAAAAGCAGCCTTTAAATTCACAAAACACAGGGTTTTTGCTTCCACCTCTGGTCATTGACAGGCAGTGTGTTTCGTGTCACTGGCTTCTCAGCGAGCGACCTTGAGCGACAAAGTAAATCAAATTCCCAAGTGTTTTCTTGGACCATCAAACAGAAATATGGGGACAGAGTGACTTTCATAATATACCCTGTGAGAAACTTAGGATATATTATTTCAATAAAAATCTCTATAAATAATGTAGCGTATTCCATAAAAAATAGACTTTGACCCAAGTTGTTCATTTCACCGTAATAAAATAGTTTCTCCTGTTAAATCATCCCCTCATTTGGTTTAGAGCAGAGCAATACTCGCAAAAAGGTGCTCGTTCACCAACTAAACCAAACTTTCATCAGTCAAGTTCTTCATTACAAAATACTTCACAACATCAACAACGGAACGAATAAAAAGTAAATCAAATAAATTAAAAGTCTCCTTTAACACTTGGCAGGGATTTTCATATTACATTCACCTTTTTTTTTCTCCTCACAGCGCCCCATCTCCGCTATACATACGGCCGGTAGTTTTTGAATTTCCATCTCTTTGAGCGAAAGCGAAAGAAGAAGAACATGAACATGAGGAAAACGCAGGACAGAGCGTAAAGCAGCACGCAGAGGCTCATGTCCACGCTGGAGAATCCCAAACCTAAGAACGTCATCCCTGGCCTGGCCTCGATCTGGACGCCGCTGTGCTTCTCTACCTCACCACCACTGTCAGTCCTTTTCTGATGCTTGGGAAGGATCTCGGGAGACTTGAGGTTCTGGTTGATGTGGATTTTGCTGTTGGGTTTGGTTATGGCTTTGGGTTTGTCGGGCGCCGGTGGGCCTGGTTCTGATTGGCTGCTGGAGTATTTCGGAGAGATGTTTGAAGCACTGTAGTGTTGCTTGAGGAAAGCGAGCACCATCTGTTCGTTCCAGACATGAAGGCCTTCCTGCTCCTCGTGGCATGTGGGACAGAGGTCAGGGGTGGGCCACTGAGTTTTAGGAAACATCGGGTCCTCGCTCATCGAACCTGCAAGACAAGTCAATCAGCCATGAGCGTGATGCAGACTATAACTTAACACGTGCAAGTTTGATAATGAGGGCTGTGTCTGAAATCGTATACTTCCCTATTATATAGTACAATATAGTTAAAAACCGTAAGTGAGCCAAGAAGTGTGTCCGAATTCATAGTATTCGAAAAACGGTATGTGAGAATTACCTGGCCGAAGTACAACTTCAAGCGAAATTTTGAAATGCGCATCCAGTGGACATTACACTATCTCACAATGCCTCGGGAGTAAAAAGAAGACATTTTGCAGCCTTAAAACATCTATAATAATCGTAAAAAATAAAGCGTATTACTTCACGGATTTCGCCTATTGCGAGTAGTTTTTAGAACATAACTCCCACGATAAATGAGAACCACTGTATAGTATATTCAGTACTAAATAGTTAAAAACAGTTAGCGAGCCATGAAGTTAATTAAGGAGTAACGCCCCATTCACACGAGGAGTCAGCTTCAACGCTTTCCATTCAATTTGAATGGGTAATGTCAGGCGTTGCCGAACTCTATTGTGGATGGTCGGTGCCGCTTCAGAGGCGTTGCTCGTTGTTGAGACTAGCTCAACTTTTCAAGCGCCGACGGAAGCGTCAGCCAATCAGAACGCTGTATGCAAATACACCAGCTTAGACAGTGGCCTATTGCTGACTAATTTAATTGCCCCAGAGGCATTTCAAAAATGGCCGGCGAGTTGAATGACTTGCCTTAAAGGGACTTTGGTACGTCCCAATTCCATTTATACTACTCACATTCACACTATATATAACGTACTTTTCTAATGGTCGTGTAGTAAATTTCAATGTAGTACCTACTCGAGTAGTAGGCAATTTCGGACACAGCCAGTATCCATTCAGAATCAGATTTTGTCTTTGCTCATCAGTCTTCATCTTCCATTTTTCTTGTTATATTTTCCTACCTTCTTACCACTTAAGTATTTTTTCCTGTCTTTGATTTTCCCTTAATTCTGGTACTTGGGTTCGTTCTGCATTTTTATTTTCCTTCCTTTCAGTCCAACCTCCTGTCATTCTTTCTTTCACTCTTTCCTTTTCACCTTTTATCCCTGTTTTCCTCTTCATGTCTTTTATTTTTCTTCCACTACTTTTATTTATTCATTTTGTCTGTTTAGCTTTTTCTGTCCATGTTTCATTCTTGTCAATTTCCTTCCTTTCTGTCCTACTTTCATTCTGTCTGCCTTTCTTAAACCACTGCTTTCAATTTCTTTCAATACTTTATTCTTTTACGTCTTTTGTCCATTTCCCTTTATTTTAAGTCTTTTATTTATGTTCTACTTCCCATCAGTTTCTTTTCCTTTTCTCCTTCCTTCCTGTCAGTTTTCCTTCTTTTGTGTTGTACTTCTTATCTTTAAATCTTGAATCACCTTCATGTCTTTTTTCATTTTTCTTTCAATGTTTTTATTTTTTTTTTTTGTTTCACCTTTGCTGCCCATATTTCCTTCTTGGACATATTCCTTCCTTTTTGTTCTACTTTCATTCTGTCTGCCTTCCTAGCATAATTCTTCAATTTCTTTTGTCCGTCTTTTTTACCCTTTCTTTTTCAGCGTTTTCCACTTCCTTGCTGTCCTACAGTCTTCTCGTCTTTGCTTTCTTGAATCACTCATTCATTTTCCTTTAAATACTCTATTCTTTCTAAATGTCTTAGCCGTTTGATTTCTCCTACAGATTTTCCTTATAGCATCAATCTTTTCCTTTCCTATACTTTTTTCATTCATGTTCTTCACATTCTTTCTTGAATCACTATTTTCCTATTTCTTTCTAATACTTTGTTCTTCTTTCACATTTTTTCTCCATTTGCTTTTCCATTGCTTCCCATCTTCATACTTCCTTGATGCACTTTTTCCTAGTTTTTTCTTACCGTCATATTTTTCCTGTTCCTTCTCCTAATTTAATTCTTTTTGCCTTTTATTTCTGTCATTTCATGGTGCTTCTTGTTTCATTTCCCTACCTTCTTTCTTTCACTTTTCTTTTTGGTTGTGTCTCTGTTCTTACCTCCCTTTTCCTTCCATTACTTCCTTCCTGCACTTTCATCCTTCATATCTATCTTTCTTTTTTTTCTTTCAAGTTTTCTTTCTTTTCCAATCATATTTTTCAGTGGTTTCCTTTATTTTGCTGTACTTAATTTTATTTCTATCTTTTTTTCTCTTTCTGTCTTTCTTTCTTTCTTTCTTTCTTTCGAGCATTTTTCATATTTATGCAGTCATATTTCATATTATTTTGTTTTGTTGTACTTCATTTTCTTTATCTAAC